TGAATCCTGCAAAAACACTTGAGTCAACACAAGAGGGATGTAGAAACACCAAGAAAGGCCCAAATGGTGGTACAGTAGGTCAAGAACCCCCATCCAAATATCCATAGAACCTATTGAATATCATCTTCTGGGGCAACAAAGGGCTCTGTAGATCACATTAGGAATTATGAGATGTGAGATTACCCTGAATTATCCCGGGGGGGGGGGGCTCCAAAAGTAATCACAAGTGTCTTCATGAGAAAGAAGCAAAAGCAGAATTGTCACAGGCACACAGAGAAGGCAAAGTGAAGATAGAGACAGAGGTTCCAGTGACACAGTTAAAAGCCAAGAAATGCCAGCAGCCACCAACGAATGGAAGAAGCAAAGAGCAGAATGGTCCCCTAGAGCCTGCAGAGGGAGTGCTGTCCTGACAACACCTGCAATTTAACCTAATGGTGCTCATTTTGGACTTTAGCCTCAGAACTGTGAAAGAATACATCTCTATTGTTTTAAGTCACTTACTTTATGGTATTTTGTTGCAGTAGCCCTAGCATGGGTGGACTGATGTGAATACCCTACTTTGGGAGAATGAGGGAAGATCATAAACTGTCCACACTAGGAGGACCCATGCCAATATTCTGCATTAGACCTCTTGATGGGGAAGTTTGAACAGAGAAGAAGGCCATGCCTCCAAGGTCCACAATGGGGCAGGCAGGGGTAGAGCCTGCATGCTTTTATCTATTTTTTTCTTTCTAGTGCTGAGGATCAAACCCAGGGTCTCCTAAAGTGCATAAAGTGCGCTCTATATGGAGACCCAAGCCCAGTCCTGTTCTTTTTTAAAAAATATTATTAGTTGCAGGTGGACACAATATCTTTATTTATTTATTTTTTATGTGGTGCTGAGGATCAAACCCAGTGCCTCATACATACGAGGTGAGCGCTATACCGTTGAGCTACAATCCCAGTCCCAGCCCTGTTCTTTACAAGACATTTGGCTTCCTGCCTTCTCATTATCTTATTGGCTCCTCTCCTCAGGGCACTTCCCTCTACCTGTGGCTTCCCCAGCAGCAGTCTTTACTAGAGGGAAATGCCTCTCTAGTTTCTGTCTTCCTGAGGGGAGTGTCAGGGCCATAAGGCTGTTCAGGCCCCTGATTTAGTCCTCTAGCTTCCTCTGCACAGGACAGGATCCCTCACTCTCCCAGTGCACACGCTTCTGCCTGACTTCCCCTTGCCTGGCTCCTCAGCCCTGCATATCCTGCTCCCATATATAATTTTTTTTTTTCTTGATAGCTGTTGCTTTTTCACCAGCAATCTTCATTATTATCTGCACTAACAGAAAAGCTGGCTTCTGTCTACAGTTCCCAGCCAGACCAATGCCAGACTGCCATTTTGTAGGCTGTTGTGTTGGTGGATACTCTCTCTCTGCCCCTTCACTGCATTGCTGCACACTAGATAGCATTCAGCAGGCTACAGAGCAGAGTGTTAACCAACTGTTGGCCACTGGGGAGACTAAGGCCAATCTCACTAATATACTGCCAAAGACCACTGTCCCCAAGGCCATCACCATACAAGTGCCATACCAGCCAGCCAGGAAGAGTTGGAAAGGGTGCTGCTATTCATTTAAAAATAAAAGCCATTTCCTAAGAGAAATGCCAGCTGTCTTGTGAAAGATCAACACTATATTTCTGGATTTTCATGGGTAAATTTCTAGGAAAAAAAAAAAAAGCACAGACTCTGAATAATAAAGGTGACCTTCTTCATATCCTCATGCCCAAATGAACTCTGACTGATCCTTTGGAATTTTCAGGTAAAGTTCCTATATATTAAAAAGACACACAGTTGTTCACTGTTGTCTGACACCAAGCTACTCCACAGATGCCAGCAGCTGTCAGAAAGACCCTCTCACTTCCTTCATTTCACAGGGAGGCCTGAACCACAGAGAGGTGAGGTTACTTCCCAAGGTGACCCACAGTGTGTGTGTGTGTGTGTGTGTGTGTGTGTGTGTTTCTTTATCTCCTCCTCCTCTTCCTCCTCCCCTCCTCCTCCTCCTCCTCCTCCTCCTCCTCCTCCTCCTCCTCCTCCTCCTCCTCCTCCTCCTCCTCCTCCTCCTCTTCTTCTTCTTCTTCTTCTTCTTCTTCTTCTTCTTCTTCTTCTTCTGTCTTTTCTTTTTTGGAATTGGGGATCAAGCTCTGGGCTTCACCAATGCAAAGCAAGTGCTTTGCCCCTGAGCTATATCCCAGCCCTTGTGTTTCTCTCTCTCCTCTCTCTCTCTCTCTCTCTCTCTCTCTCTCTCTCTCTCTCTCTCTCTCTCTCTCCTCTTCCTCTATCTTATAGGGACAAAGTGAGAAAGCAGCCATCTACAAGCAAGCAAAGAAGAGTGCCCCCAACTACCTTGACCTTAGACTTCTATCCCTGATAATTATGAGAAAATAAATGTCAATTATTTCAGCTGCCCAGTCTATGGTATTTTGTTATGGCAACCTGAGCTAAGATGGGAGCCTACCTGCCGCATGGTCCCAGCTCCTCCCAGCCTGAAGTATGCTGAATAATGCCTCTTTGCTCTAAAGATGGCCATCCCCTAATCCCTGGAATCTGTGAATGCCAGTTTATATGGCAAAGGGGAATTTAAAAAAATAATCATTTTTTTACTGAAAAATTTCCTTGCTCCTTTCAATTAGTTGATTTCCATTTCCATCTTCTCTCTTTTGTCCTGAGAAAATAATCATTTTTAATAACTTATTTTAATAATTATCAGCTGGATGCCGTGGTGCATGCCTGTAAACCCAGCAGCTACTTAGTGAGACCCTGTTTCTAAATAAAATATAAAATAGGGCTAGGGATGGGGCTCAGTGGTTGAGTACTCCAGAGTTTAATCCCCAGTACTCCCCTAAAAAACATAAACTCTTTTGAATAAATTGGGTTTTTTTTGTATTCTTTTTCCCCCACAATTTTATTATAGTTGTAGATATTGATGGGATTTAATGTTACAAATTTGTATATGCACACAATATAACAATGTAATTTGGCTAACATCATTCCTCAGCATTTCTGCCCTTCCTCCCTACCTTCCACCTCTTGGTCCCTTTCCTCTACTGATCTCCCTTTCGTTTTTAGGAGATCCACCTTTCTTTTCCTTTTTCCCTTCTAGCTTCTGCATATGAGAGAAAGCACTACCACCCTTAACCATCTGAGTTTGACTTATTTCACTTAACATGATGGTCCCCAAAGAATTAAAGGCATATTACCACAGTGATACATGTATACTCATGTTTATAGCTGCACAATTCACAAAAACTATGGAGCCACTTTAGGTGTCTGTCAATGGGTAAATGGATAAAGGAAATATTATATATATATATATATATATATATATATATATATATATATTATATATACACACACACACACACACACATATATGTATACACACATATATAATGGAGTATTTTTAAGTTTTTTTTTAAAGATGGACACAATATCTTTATTTATTTCATTTATTTTTATGTGGTGCTAAGGATGGAACCCAGTGCCTCACATGTGTGAGGCAAGCACTCTATCACTGAGCTATAATCCTAGCTCCACAATGGAGTTTTTAAAAAATAGATTTTAAATAATTAGTTTTTAGTTTTAGGTGGACATGATGTCTTTATTTTATTTCTATGTGGTGCTGAGGATCGAACCCAGTGCCTCCTGCATGCTAGGCAAGCACTCTGCCACTGAGCCACATAACACAGCCCCCCTACAATGGAGTTTTATTCAGCCAGAAAGAAAAATGAAATTATGGCATTTGCAGGAAAATGGATGGAACTAGAGACCACCATGTTAGGAGAAAGGGAATTTGCAGATGTATTTAAATTAAGGATCCTGAGATTATCTTGGATTATCTGAGTGGGCTCATTATAATCTCAAGAGCCCTTGAAAGAGAAAGAGGGAGGTGGAGGGGTGCACTCAGAGAAAGAGATTTAGAGGCAATAGACTGCTGGCTTTGAAGAAGGAGGAAGGTCGGGGGGGGGGGGGGGGGGGGGCGGGCAGGGCATAAACCCCAGAAAGCAGGCAGGTTTTAGAAGCTGAGAAACGCAAGGAAATGGATATTCCCCTGCAGCCTTCAGAAAGAATCAGCCCTGCCAACACCTTGGGTTCAGACTTCTAACCTCCAGGATGGAAGAGAATAAATGTGGGTTAGGGTTGTTTTAAACCATTAAGTTTGCGGTAATTAATTACAGCAACCATAGGAAACTGATACCCATCCCCCATGTTCATCTTGCTCTCTGACACTTGCCTTCTCTCTTGAGAATGTGTTGGCTCTTATCTCGTCCCTGACACCAGTCTCTCTCCCAACTAGTTCAGGGAGCTACTGGTTAGTCAGCCTGTGGTTCAAGGGCATGTGACCATAGTCACTTATGAGACAGGCACCCAGAGGCAAGGGATATTTGGCTTCCTGGCCCTATCTGTGGCAGCTCAGGGTGTTGGTGGCATTGTTGGTTGTGGGACAGACAGTTGGGGACAGAAGTGAGCAGGCTAGCCTGTGGATGGAGCTAGGTTGTATCTTCCTCAGAGAACTATAGATTCAGGAAAAACATAAAAATAAGACAAAACGCACCTGAAGGCACTGGAGAGCTACCCAAGGTGGGCAGATTCTGACAGGAAATCAACACCTGTGAGCTTGGAAGAGCCTTCTGTGGGATTCCTGTTTTCCTATCTTCTGGGAGCCTCACTCTGCACCTCAAACGCTGCCTAAAGCTCCTAGGGAAACCTACAGTCTTTCTGGAGCTTACAGAACAAAAGAACCATGTTCAGGACAATCCCAACTGCTGCAAAGTGAGCTGAAAGTGAGGGGAAATCCTTCAGTAGTAAGAGGCAGAAAGGAGACTCAGATTTCCTTTCTTTTTTTTTTTTGTTATTAAAATCTACTTTATTTTCTATGGAATCAAGCACTAGCTACCAGTTTCAGCAAGATTTTTGTTGTGCCTTCCAAATGTCAGCACAGCTAGAGCAATGCCTTAAAATAACCAAATAATAAGCTAGGTCCCAGTGGTTATGTCCACATCTAGGGTCGGGTGATCAGGAACACTTTTATTTGATTGCTTTAGCTTTTAGTTCTTGGTTATATCTCCAAATGCGAAAGAGCTGAGAGGCTCCTGCTGCCCCCACGAAGAAATCAACGGTAAACAGACTCCAATATTTTGGTATAATTACAAGTGAGAATCTTGACCAGATAAACCCTGTGGCCATCAAAACAGCAGATTGAGCTGTGCTGAGTTTTTCTGCAGGTCTAGCCATATCAGCCAACCCAGCACACACCAACCACCATTTCATAATTGGAGCCCAGAAGAAAACTGTTCTAGGGCCTGCCGGGTGGTTGTACAGCGGCCACAGCTTCTCCAGCAGCATCAGCTCCACCTTATCCAGGAGCCGGTGGTAGCTGGCCGGCCCGCCGCGGGCGCCGGCGACTGACATCTCGGCCCCTAGGCGATCGCGGGCAGTGGGGCGGGAGCGCCACCGTGTCCTTGTCCCCAGCTGGCGGCGGAGGGAAGCTCCTCATGTTCCCTGCCAAGGAGCCTTGCGGCCGCCTCTGCCCAAGACGCCCTTCCCGAGGCTCTGCCCGCCCGGCGAACCTCTCAGGGCCCGCGCCCAGCGCAGGCGAAGGGGCGGGGACCAAACTCAGATTTTCTGTATAAGCACTGTCTCATGCATGCACGGCTCTGGCTGGCCCCTGAGCCATGCATTCATGAGAACTGCAGGGTGGGATTTGAGGAAGTCTGCTTTCTGTAGTATACCTTACCTCTCCCTGACAAATGAACACCTATCATGAGTCAGGCTTTGTGCTGGGACACCAGGGAGTTTTAGTCTGGGTTTCTTTTTTTTTTTATTTTTTAGCTGTAGTTGGACACAATAACTTTATTTTATTTTTATGTGGTGCTGAGGATCAAACCCAGTGCCTCCCGCACTACAGGAGATCTCTACCACTGAGCCACAACCCTAGCCCTAGTCTTGGTTTCATTGGAAATAGTCTCACAGCAACCCTGTCTTGGGCAGTGAGATCTCAGAGAGCAGGAGTGAAAGAAAAGGTCCACGAAACCAGAACGTTGTGTGTAGGGAAGGAAAAAGGGAAAAATGTATCCAGGAGCTCATATTCCATTGTTCAAGGGCTTACCCCACAGGGCCTTTCCTACACCTCATTTCTGGGTAGGTACAAAGAGCAGCAAGCAACTGAGTCCTGTGTCATTCATGTGAATGTTCCTTCCCTTCTGGAAAAGCTTTAGACTGATGTTAAGTGGAACTTAATGGGCAGTTCTGGTGGGCACTCAGAAGATCAGAAGGCCCATACAACTGTGGATAGTAAAGAAAGACAGGGCTCAATAAGTTTCTAAGGAAAAGGAGTACTCTATTGGTAATTGGACTAGAGGCCCTTTGTGTTACATTCTGGTTAATAAATTTTCTACATTTTGCCCTTGTCTTGAGTCTTTCTTTGATGATTTTTTGAAAATATTTTTACTTATAGATGGACACAATACCTTTATTTATTTATTTTTATGTGGTGCTGAGGATCAAACCCAGTGCCTCACAAGTGCCTAGCAAGTGCTCCACCACTAAGCTACAACCCCAGCCCCTTTGAGGTTGATTTTAAAAGTGATGGATTTATTAATCTGGTGGAAGAAATTTCTAGACAGCGTAGTATTCAGGTGGTGGCATGGGTATTGCTGGAAGTTTTTAGCCAAGTTTATTGTGATATTGTAACAGTGGTCCACTTTATGTTTTAAATACAACCCTAGCTGCTCTGTCACTGCAAGTTATTCTTAAAATGGATGTGTTTCTCTCCCTCTCTCTCTCTCTCTGCTCCTCCCTAACATCTCCCTTCCCTAATCTCAGGGGAAACAAAATCACCTTTCCTCCCCAACCTAGGCAGAGTTATCTGTCTTTGAGTACAGATAACTTTTTTCCACCATATGAAAAAAGTAATCCAGACTTTGGAGATGGTACCAGAAGATCTCAGAAATGACTGTCTCCCAAATTAACAAGGAAATTACAACTCCAAGAGAGAACATGTGGAATGTAGTCTTTGAATCACCTCTTTAAAAGTCCCCTGTTCCTTCTGAGGGGCAGAATCAGAGCTTGTGGGACAGAGTCCCCTGTTTTTCTCCTTTGCTAGCAAAGCAATAAACTTTTTTTTTCTTTTTTCTCAAAACCATGTCCTTGTTATTAGATTGGCATTGAGGACAAGGACTGAGCTTATGGCAACAATATTCAGGAACAGAAAGCCCGAGCAGAAAGATTTGAAAAGCTTTGACTTGAAATGTGGGAGTAAAACTGGGGCTAAGGAAGTTGCAGTTGTTAAAGACACTAATGCCATGAAATAAATGCTAAAGAATTTGCTAAAGATAGTAAGAAAGACTTGTTGAGGGCATCTCAGGAATTGGCAAGACCACATCCATTTCAGGCTCAAAGGAGAAAAAGTAAAATTCCCTTTGTAAAGAGACTCATGGGGTACTCTACTTGCACAAGAGGGCCTAGGAAGCTTAAGAAGTTGTTTCACTATGCTCAGGCACTGCTGCAGCCGTGGTACCTTTAGGCTTTACTACTCTGGAGATGTAAATTGCTTTTGATTTTTAAAGGAGCTCATAATGCGAGTTTCTCTTGAGTCTTAGAGGAGACTTTGGACTTGAGTTTTTGGGCGATGCTGAACTGTTGACACTATGGGGAGTCTTGGAAATGAACTAAATGTATTTTGCATTGTGAGATGAGCATGAGCTTTTGAGAGCCAGAGGAGGAATGTTATGGTTTATAATGAGGTGTCCTCCAAAAGCCCATGTGTCAGACAATGCATGAGAGTTTAGAGGAGAAATGATTGGGTTATGAGAGTCTTAGCCCAATCAGTGAATTGATCCCCTGATGGGATTAACTGAGTAGTAATTGAAGATGGGTAGGGTGTGGTTGGAGGTGGGGGATTTCTGGGGAGTATGCCTTTGGGGAATATATTTTGTATCTGGAGAGTGGGGTCTCTCTCTCCACCTCTCCCTCTCCCTCCTCCTCTCTTTTCTTTCTGATCATTATGTGAGCTGCTTCTCTCTGTGACACTTTTCTTCCATGATTTTCTGCCTTACCTCAAGATCCTAGGAATGGACCCTGCTGTCTATGGACTAAGACCTCTGAACCTGTGAGACCCTCAATATATTTTTCCTCCTAAAATTGTTCTTGTCTAGTCTTTTAGTCACAGCTGCAAAAAATTAACTGAAAAGTGCATTATAATTATAGATAATAATAGAATCCATGGTGACATATTTGTACATACATATAACAAAGTTTGGTCAAGTTTTTCTCCAGGACCTCCCTTTCCTTCCTCACCTTCCTTCCTTTGGTCCCCTTCCTCTATTCTACTGGTCTCCTGAGAAGTTTTACTTGTGGGTGGCTTTGGCACATGCTTTCATCTTCTGAACATTGCTTTCTTGTCTACAACAAGGAGACAAGCAGCACTTTTTCTGCTTGTTGTAGAACAATCAGGATATAGAGTAAAGGGTCCATAGCTGTTTCAGCTCAAGCCCAGCCTGCCTGACTGCACTGGCTGAACGTGAAAGCCCTATATAGGGTCTACCACTTACGTAACCTGAAGTGAGGCCTCCTTTTGTGTTTCATTGGCCCCACCCTAATCCTTATCCAAGATCCAAATTCTAGTAGCTTCTCTGCTGGTCCTGGGGGAATGTTCCTCCATCTGACCAGTTTTTAACATGTCCAGTTCCTGGGTCACCCTCTCAAAGGCAAAACATTGAAAGTTGACAAAATACATTGACATTTATTATCATATTGGGTCTAACAGGCTTCTTTCAGTGGAGGCCAGACAAAGAATTTTACCTCCTTTTTGTAGATCAGGCAACAGAGGCTCAGATGTGCTGAGTGGTTCAAGGCCATAAAGCCCACAGGTGGCTGAGCTTAGGCTTGACTCTAGCCCTTCCCCCTGCCCTGTCTCCTTGTCCTCCAGCACTGTCCCTCAGAATTACTGTCTGCCTGTATCACCCACAGTGACCAGGTAAAAACTCTTGAGCTCAGGGTTTCTAGGCAGACATAGGTGTCCTTCCTCCCACCCTGGTGGACCTAAACCAGTGCCAGATATCATTCAACAAACAAAAAAGGCTTATAAGACTGAAATAAATGTCCTCATTTTGAATCTCAGAGTCTTTTCAGATAACATTATCTTGTGTGGCCCCAAGAGTCTCCTGTTCACTCCTGCAGACTGGTACAGAACAAGCCCAGGTAATTGCCTCTTCTGCGTAAAGACTAATTTGTCCAGGGAAATGAGCACAGTTGATATAATCAATTAAAACCCTGAAAGTAGTGCAGAATATACAGGAAATGGAAAGAAATTGAAGCCCTCTGCCCCACCTCACCTTCCCAAATGCTTGTATCCTGCATGACCAGGTGATAATTTCTTTTCTCTTTGAGTCTTGATCCAATTTGTCTAAAACAGGCCCAACCCATCTAGTCCAGGTCACTTATCCTGGTCCTAACAGAGACTTACAGGCAAGGACTTTTCTTGAAAAGGAGCTTCAAGGAATGTGAACTACTCCTATGCTCTGCCCTGTGCCAGGTATGGGATCATATCGGAGGAGGCGGGTGCTAAGCCACAGACATACCAGAACTGTCTTCACAACTGGGTTATTAGATGAAGAGTGAATGCTTGTGAGAACTTGAAGGCCAGACTCCAACAACAGCACAATTGTGAAGCCATGCCATTACTAAAGCCACCAGGGTCTGGGCTAGATCTTCAGTCCTTTTCTGGCCTTTGGGTCCCCCATTTTTGAGCCCTATGCTCTTTCAGGCTGTGTCCCTGGCTCCTGCAGTAGGGGGAGGCTTGGGTGGTTAATGCCCACTGGTGTCGATCTGCTCACTGGCTTGCAGTTTTGTCTTTCTTACCTGTTGCATGCAGCTGTGACACAGCCACCCTGGGGTCTCTGCCTGCTGGAAGCTCACAGCCTATGGGGAGGCAGGTGCATATACAGTGCTATAGGAAGTGAGGCCTCAGACTGTCACAGTTGAAAAGGCTCAGTGCCTCTCTGCACACTACCTTTAAGTGGCCTGTAAAGTGGAGAGGATGAGACAATAGCAATGGCGGAGACAGAAAAGACAAGAAGCAAGACACAGCTCTCCCTCTTTTTTAACCCTGATTCCTCCAGTTAGGATGCCTTTCTTATTGTTCTCAAGTATCTTGCTCATCTTTCAGAAGAGAAGCAACAAATACCCACATAGGCAGAAATACCATATGGGATTTAGGGTTCTAAGTCTGGTTTCAGAAGAACCCATCACAGAAGCCTGGGGAATTGTTAGAGATTCCCTTGGGGTCACAAAGTGACCTGGAGATGCCTTGACTACACTCTTGGCAAGCAATGGCATTGAATGGTTGACAAGTTTGTCCAGGGGACAGATGGCATTACTGCTTCAGGAAAGACTCGGCTCTTGAATCCACC